CAGTGCTATGGAGAGAGGTTTTTCTGCAGACTGGAGGGGGTGTGATTTTGGGTGCTGCCTGAATTCCGCAGATGGGGTTTCACTTGTTTGAGCAGCCCGGATGTTGGCATGTCATGGCCCAGGGGTTGGGGACCTTTGATTTAGGAAGGAATGTGGTGGCTCAGCGGCTAAGTCGCTGAGCTTGTCGATCAGAAAGTTCGGCATTTCGGTGGTTCGAATCCCTAGTGTCGTGTAACGGAATGAGCTCCCGTGACTTGCCCCAGCTTCTGCCAACCTAGCAGTTCGAAAGCATGTAAAAAATGCAAGTAGAAAAATAGGAACCACCTTTGGTGGGAAGGTAACAGCATTCCGTGCGCCTTCAGTGTTGAGTCATGCTGGCCACATGACCACGGAGACGTCTCCGGACAGCGCTGGCTCTTCGGCTTTGAAACAGAGATGAGCACCGCCCCCTAGAGTCAGGAACGACTAGCACATAAGTGCGAGGGGAACTTTTACCTTTAAGATATGCAAAATCCTATGAGTGGCTTCACTTGAAGGATGAGATTGCAGTATTACAAGGAGTTTGCCGGTCATTTGCCAGTCATGGAACCTTCCATCTGGGATATTTTGCCATGTCTATGCCAGGAAACAACTGGTCTGCCACCCAGGTGTGGTTCTCCCAGATTAGCATGACTTAATTAAGAGGGAAAAAATTAGGCTATAAGAATTCTTACAGCCTAATTCCACCAGCCTTGAAATTTTGGCCTTGGAGAACCTAAAACTACACCACCTATAATCTGACCTAAGTATAGTACATAAAATTGTCTTCTACAACGTCCTACCTGTCAATGACTATTCAGCTTCAACCACAATAATACCCAGGCAAACAATCAATGCAAACTCAAGGTAAACCGCTCCAAACTCGATTGCAGAAAATACGACTTCAGCAACAGAGGGGTCAGCGCCTGGAATGCTCTATCTGACTCCATTGTTACATCCTCAACCCCTCCCTGCAGCTTCAACCTCAAACTGTCTAGCATGGACCTCACCCCATTCCTAAGAGGTCTGTAAAGGGGGCGTGCATAAGCGCACCAGTGTGCCTACCATCCCTGTCCTATTGTCCCCATTTATTCATACTCATTTCCTGTGTTCTTATTCATGTTTATTCTTATTCCTATTATCTTGTACGTGAGTGATTACATACATAAATAAATATGTTTTCTCAGCTACAACACATACATAGGCAGTCCTTGAGTTAAAACCACAGCCGGGACTGGAATTTCCATGGCTAAGCCAGGCAGTTGTTAAGTGAGTTGTGCATCCAAATGGAAGAAGCTTCTTGGATGAGAAGCGAAACGTTTTCAAGGGAGGGGAAAAAAAACCTCCAAGAAAGTCCAGTTGCCTTTTGGTGGGGGGAAAAAAGCACCTTTGGGATGCCTTTGCTTAGCAGTGGAAATTTGGGGCTCGATTCTGGGCGTAAGTCGAGGACTAGCCGTATGTCCTGCGTCCCAATCAGCTTCTATGACGGAATGTCTCTCTTCTTTTCTTCCCCTCCTTCTGGGTTTAGATGATCCAGGAGAGCAGTCACTACCCCACGCTAATGCAGAGAGCGTCTTGGATGCTGGCGGTGCCCCTGAAGGAGCAGTGTCACTTCCGCACGCCGAGCAACTCCATTGCCAACAACTACACCTTGACCGCGCGCGACCTGAAGATGAAGGATCTGCAGAAGCTGGCTTCCCCTGTCCGAATCAGGAAGGCTTCTTGCTGCACCAAACAGAAAGCCGAATGTCCACGTATCCTCCGAGCTTCAACAGCGTAGAGATCCATGTATATTGGAGGTTCCCCGTCATCCAGGCCAAGGTTTAACAGATTAACAGAGTTGGAAGGGACCTTGCAGGTCATCTAGTCCAACCCTCTGCCCAAGCAGGAGACCCTACACCATTTCTGACAGGTAGCAGTCCAGTCTCTTCTTAAAAGCTTCCAGTGATGAAGCTCCCACAACGTCCAAAAGGAACTTTTTTTCCCATTGGTTGATTGTTCTCTCTGCCAGAAAATGTCTCCTTATTTCCAGGTTAAATCACTCCTTGTTCAGTCTCCATCCATTATTCCTTGTCTGGCCTTCAGATGCTTTGGAAAATAGCTTGACCCCTTCCTCTCTGTGGCAGCCCCTCAAGTATTGGACCACTGCTATCCTGTCTTCCCTGGTCCTTCTCTGCACTAGATTAGCCATGCCCAGTTCCTGCAGCCATTCCTTGGGTTGCCCTAAAGGTGCTTCCCAAAAGGCAGCTGGACTTTCTTGGCCCAAATATGAATTTTAAAAGGCAATAGGACTTCCTTTGTTTTTATTTGAAGACGTTTTGTTTCTCATCCAAGAAGCTGCTTCAGTTCAGAACTGGAGAAGCTTCTTGGATGAAAAGTGGAACATTGCCTTTCTTTTTCTTTTCTTATTTTGGCTGAGGCTTTTCTTTAACGAGATCTCCTAGCTGCTAAAGAGTATGCGCCATCCGAAAAGAAGATGAAAATGTATGTAAGAAACCTCGAAGGGGAATATGAAAGGTATTGTCACGTTTTTAACCTTTTTTTGCTTATTCAGTAGATAACGGTTGAACAAGTTAGGGACCCTCAAATAAGCCACATTTTGCAAAGTTCACGTAACATTCTTAGCCTTAAAGAAAGTTTACAATCCGTAGTGCTTGGGCTGACAGGCATGCTCTAAGATCTAGTTCATCTAATCATGGTTCCCTGAAATAAACCACAATGGGCTGCCTTTGCTTGATGTGTTGAGTCAGGAAACATGGTGTACAGACCTTAACTTACGTGCACCAGAACCAAGCAAACTGTACTATTTCTCTTTGCAGCTAACAAGCCCTTGTAACTAATAACCCCTTGTTATTCAGAAGTATAGCCCCTTCCTTGGAGGGTTTGTTTATTGGTTTATTTATCAAACTTGTAGACTGCTGATCTTGCCAGAGGTGATTCTAGGTGGCTTACAGACATTGAGTAAAATGCAGAATAAAACGTTCAAACAATCAAGAAATTTTAAAATCCCATTAAAATAAAACTAAGATAGGAACAGCCTGTTGTGGCCCGCCAGTGGGGCTGCCTGCAGATTCAGACAGTGAGGAGGTTGGGAAGGAACATGGGCGAGTCCTGGAGGCTGGGGAAAGCTCTGATGAGGGCGCTGTGTCAGAGGAGAGAGGCAACCAGGGCCGTATGCCAATTATCAGCTGCCTTCAGAGTCAGACACCAGTGAGGCAGATGAACAGCTGGAGCCTGTTCTCCAAGTGCGCATCCACAGAGTTGCCAGACGAAGGGAACAGCTAAAGAACAGGGGTCGACCTGGAAGTAAGGCCACAGGTGGAAGATGAATGGCCCCTCTCGGAGGAAATAAAAGAGGAGCGGAAGGGGAGTTGAGTTTGCAGGAGGCAATTAGTTCCCTTAATTGGCTCATGTCTCTGACCTGTGGGGGAGATATATTTTTATACTCCGGAGCGTGTTACACTCCAAAAAATACGGTACCTGTTGATTGTGATTCATTTCAGGGCTGAAATTGTGTCCCAGGTGTGTAGTCTCGATTTGCTGCGGTTGGACGTTCAAACAGTGGAATTGCCTCATTATTCCGAAAACCAGCCTCTGACCCCAGAGGAGCAAATTGTTGTGATGCATCAGCATGAGGAAGAGATGAGCAAAGGACTACAGGCACCCACAGAGGAAGATCTGGAGGTGGCTAAGCCAATTCACAAGGGGGTCTTTTCAAGCATCTTTTATCGGCAGGCCTAGAGGAATACAGAATCACGGGGGTCTTAAAGCTTTCCAGGCTGTGGTCATCTCCACTTGGGAGAGCCAGTTTGGCCTCATGGTTAAGGCGAATAGGTCCATTTTTCTGAGGTACGCAGTAAAAGGGAATTAGGTGTCAGGGCTGCTTCACTCAGTAACCAAAAAAGAAACCACTCAACTCCATTTTGCAGAATTAAGAGTACTTTTACTGGTTATGAGTAGATAGTAGCTAGGCAAAGCAGAATCTGAGGCAAAAGCGCGCGCAGTCATAAATATCAATATGTGACCCATTCCCCTTCCCCTGGTAACCCTATCCCATAGTTCAATCCAAACACTCCACATGTGTCATGTGGGAGACATCTTCAAAAATCATCATCAGTTTCGTGATCTGACAAATGCGCGCTCGACTAGAGGGCGCCGATGAAACCGCGGTGACAAAACCGCGACATCATCAACGTGCCGACAACAGCGCCAACAACAGTCTGCCAAACAAGTGAAGACCCATCCATGGGATGCAGGCAGCACACAAAATCACTTCTATCTACCAAAGTGGTCCCTGGTGCCCAAAAGATTGGGGGGAGGGCACTGATTTAATGGATATTTTGTGGTCTGAATTGGCAAGCGGGATGATCCAAAGATTGTAATGCTAGTGATTGACTTTTTTTTTTGAAAATCCTTTTTCCATCTCTTTGCAGAGATATTGCTATTACATCCATAAAGGCATCCGGAAGGACATGTTAGCGCCCCAGGATGAAAACGTGCTGAGCAATATTTTGACTCGCATCCCAAGTAATTTCCTTGCCAGCCCAGATCTGGAGGCCTTATTGAATAGTTTGATGGAAGAAATTCAAAGCGATTATCAGATTTGGCTCATGAAAAACATTGGTGAGTGGAAGAAGACAAAGTCCTTAGGCAAACAAAACAAATTGTGAAAAACCAATTTTTTTGAACAGTCACTTCCTTCAAGTAGAACCCTAAGAATTCAAGTCTTGAAATTTTAGCTGAATTATAGGTGCTGAATGCTCAGGTGGGTAAATCATAGCTTGAATAATATCTTGAGTAAAGGAAATCAGGCAGGCTCACCCCACCTTCCAAACCATAAATCATGGTTTTAAGCCACATTGACTAGATCCATACAACACACTTCTCTAGGGTAAAACCAGAGGTGGGTTCCTACCAATTTGCACCTATTCGGTAGAACCGGTTCATCAAATCTACTGAACCGGTTAGAAGAGTTTCCACCAGTGGACCCGGAAAGCAGGCCACACCTACAGAAGAGGTTCCAAAAATTTTTGAAACCCATTACTGCTATACACACACACACACACACACACAGACTGACAGAGAGAGAGAGAAAGAGAAAGAAAGGAAGAAAGAAAGAAAGAAAGAAAGAAAGAAAGAAAGAAAGAAAAAGAAAGAAAGAAAGAAAAAAAGAAAAAGAGTGAGAGATGAAAAAAAGAAAAAAGGGACAGAGAGATGAAAGGAAGGAGAGAGAGAGAGAGAGAGAGAGAGAGAGAGAGAGAGAGAGAGAGAGAGAGAGAGAG